GCTCTGTTCAGTCTTTTGACAAGAGCAACCTAAACACCTGAGGTCTTCCATAACATAATTTTTAAATGGGGTTTTGTTGTCCATGTTAAATATATAAGAAATGTGAACATTTGATTTGGTATACTGTTSTTGTATTTTACAGCATGGTCGATAGATATATAAGATGAAAGAGGAAGAAAAATCAGACATGAGTAGAGTACTCTAAGTCTAGTTCTGGTATCCTCCATATTGATATTACAGAATTAAATTGACTTCACAGCAATATGTTTCCAATGACTACTTCTGAATTTGTGTCTGAATTTGATCAAACAAATTACACGTGCATGGTACATGTATTTAGAACAGATGGGCCAAAGTTACAACAGCAATTTAAAATGGAATGAGAAAACCATATTTGCCAGCATTTCACATGGAATAACAGATATCTACTAAACAAGCTGGAACCCCTGGACACATGTCATTGCACTGTGCACAGATGGCCTGCTGTAAATCGACAGCATCAGAAATATCTTGGACTTGTTATGCACTCACGGATCAGTTGCATAGCACGTGCACAGGGAGGATGACACGTCCTGGATTCACCTAATGCACACCACRAGCCAGGAAATCTGGTTCTTTGTCCACAAACAAAACAACTGGAGAGACTGCTGCTGTTCTGACTATTGTTCAGGATTGCAGATTATTCCAGAAAGYGGCAGGGTAGTAGATTAACTTGCAGTAATTTACCAGAATACTCTTATAAACTAGTTAGTTGATTTAAAAAAAAAAAGGAAAAAAAAAGGTTGGGTTCTACTTAATGTTTTCTAAATTAGCCATCACTGGTCGAAGTCATTCATATTAGTGAGCTCTAATAGATGGCTGACCTAGAGAAAATAAGGACAGATTTATTTGTACAAAATGAGGAACAATATAAGGTGGGGAAAAGTTTGAGATGTAGATAATACATTAAGAAAAGTATTCAGATCCTGAATACCTGACCTGAAAACTGAAAGTAGTAAATTTGCAGTAAAAGAAGAAATAGGAATAAGAAAGCKACAACACGTTTCCTAATCCTTTCACTTTGCAAATGAACATTCTGGTTTTTATCATCGCGCATTTTGCTCCCAGAATTTAAGCTGCAGTCTTTTAAGTCAACTGCTGCATGTATTCTAAAAACTTTGTTGATGTTCTGGTCTTAAGTATGTAAGCATTAAATATATAAAAAAATGAATATGCTCTCATCTCTAACTTTTCTATTGCATATTTTACATATTTAAGAAGGCTGACATCATACTGAACTCAGAGAAGTGGCCAAGTCTTCACTGTCCTCTTGCTTCATTTATTTCCCTGATGTTCTGATAGAAATACCTTACCAGAAAACTYGCTAGTCTCAGAAATGAAAAAATGAAATCAGGCTAATTTCAAGTTTTCTATAATGACTTTAAACATGGTGCAAAATGCCTGCTTTAATAAGATACATAACTTGCTTTAGTAAGAAGTATCTTATATATAGATATTTTCTGCAACTGATGAACTGGTAAAGATGGTCATTCTGAGAAAAACACCAAAGTATTTTAAATAATCAGAAATAAAGAATAATTAAATCCAGGAGTACTGAGGAAAAGGACTGGGATGGCAGAAAAGTATAATCAAAATTAACAAAACCCATTGGCTTTGGCCAGAGGTTTAGATTAACCTCTGAAGTAAAAGCAAACCACTAAGAAAGAAGATATATCACAAGGTAATGTTAGGAGTCAAACCATAATCATAATCAGATGTCTCATTTCACCCTTTGCCTTCCTTCTCAGTACAAGACATGGGACAGTATCATATTGAAAAAAGCTCATCTGACATTATCTGCAGATGAATAAAAAGTGATTCTATTTTTTTTTATTATGGACATGTAACACAAGAGATACAGAAAAAAGAAAAATATCATTATTGATACATGAAGGCTAATTATTAAAACTTGGTGCTAATTAAGAAAGACATTAAATCACCTTCAGTGTTATGTGAAAACATGACACAGAAAAGCACAATAAACTCCAGAGACTCTGCTGAAGCATGTAAAATGCAKCTGCTCTTTCACTCATTCTTATTTGTTATGAAACTTCAGCTAATGTATAACACTATTTTGTATTRGAAACACAAAGTAAAAACAGTTTAACATTTAAGCAGAAAATGTTTAACTTATTTTAATTCACAAAACTGGAGTGAAATAATAGGCATATGTTGGAGTGTGAACTTGGTGATACAYGCATCAGTTTTTACTACTACAGAAGAACATTGTGCTGAAAACAGTTGGCAAGTACTCAGCATCCCAGAGTTCTAGAAACTTTGTTTCTTATACCTGTGACTTAAATGTACTTTTATATTGATATATTTTTTGTGTGAATTTTCAACGAAGATGAAAGAGATACCAGAGCCCATCCTACTTCAGTGATCTCTTCCACATTCATAGCTTACATGAAAACTTTTCTACCATTTAGTTTATAAAGATTTTACTTACACAGGCAGAGTCTTTTAATCCATCTAACTGAGAAATGCATTCACTTCTTAGAATACTCCAAGTCTGATACTTGTGCCAGGCATACTGCAGGTATGCTTTAACTTGTGCGTATCTCCCTCACTCCAGAGGGACACTGCAAAGTGAAGACCTGACAAATCTTGATCCTGATAAGGTCACAGGGACTTAGCTATATTATAGCTTTGCTTAATCCTCATTGGTTTTGCCTACTGAGCACAAGGCTGTTTCCCTGACAACACAACAGCAGTTACCACAGCATACAGAAACACATATGATGTCCAGGTTTAAGGTATATCCAYCTGGAAATATATTATTTAATGCTATCTTCTACAGGTCATTGTAGGGCAAAAAAAAAAGCTGTGAAGATCTTCTGTAATGACTTACTTCTATTAAGCTTGTTACTATTACTTCAAGGATATTCCCTAAGTAGGGWGGACACTTCTGAAACTCACTTCTTGAATCAGGGAGTACACACCAAAAGTCACAGTACAAAGACATGGAATGTAAGGGAATACTGAATGTTTATATATATTCCTATCAAGTGGGAAATACAACATGAGAGAAAGCAAAAAAAAATACCACTTGAAAATCTAACAAGTTGGCAATACTGGCTAGCATAGARAAGAAGGGACCATTTGGAGTCTGAAGTGAGAAGTCTGGGAACAAGTTTAAATGTGCATATAGAAATTAGATAGTRAGAAACTACACACCRCAGCAATATTTCACATGAATACATATGGAAATRCCTGTGTTTTTCAAAGTGCAGAGAAAGGATTTTGCAACAATTAAGATAAAGTATGAAACAAAAGAAACAGATCTCTAGCTGAACAAGAAAGGTGTGATTTTAGAAATATTCCTCAGTAACTAATGCAAAAAATTCAAACTTGAAAAGTAAATCTAGCCAGAGAATTTCTTGTACTTCACCAAAAGCATGCAGTACTACATTGTATAGAATAGATCCTACATTAAATTACTTCCAGTTTAAATTTGGTCAAACAGTGCTGACAGGTTAACTTTCTAGTGGCGGATTCTCTGCCTGGCCACATAGCAACTAATTTAACATGAAAATGCTGTCAAAAATCTTTTCTTGTGTGCACTGGCTAATGTAACAGAAATGCACTATGTGCTCAAGTGTGTTCTAACTCAACTGCACCAGGTAAATTCAGTACTAATAACTGGAACTCAAACAACTGAGAGATGTCTGAGCCATATTAGTGGARATGGAGACTGAAGAAAGAAAAGAAACAGATAGTACCTTGACCTCATGGTTAATGGAAGAATGTCTGAGCCTGAGTCAGTGACTGCAATGTTTTACTTTCCAGTAAAAACAATTAGAAGACAAGGATTTAATCAATTGACAAGACAGCAGTTTGTTTCTAAGCAACACAGGTCACCAAGAATACACCACTCCACTCATATAATTGTTTTCCTATTGAATATTATTATACATAAGTTTTCAATTTTCCTTTTCAAATACCTAAAGTATACAAGCTCACATGACAAAAAAGATCAGGTTAACACAACCATTAAGACAACTTCCCATCACACTGACCTTCCATCTTCAAGAACAGTGGGGCTTAAAATGTAAAGAAAATTATTGTGGGGTTCTGGGGAGCTTTCTATTTGACTTTGTTYAGTTAGTTTTGTTTTAAACTCCCAACAAAAAATGCTGAAGAATTCTTCCTCTGTCTGGCCCTTATTTGTCAATTTAGCCTCAGGAAGTTGGAAGAATTATGAATACTATTGCTTTCAGAGAAGAAGTAGAATGTATAATATGATTTATTTTCCTACAGACTGCATATTAAATAAATAAATAAATAAATAAACTAATAAATAAATAAATGAAGGAAACTGGGACCATTGAAAGAATGCAATGGAATGACAGTACCAATTTTATTATATGCTAAGATAGTAAAGTGCTCAGCAAGATGTAGTAAGCATAGTAGCATAACCACAGTTAATCAAAGTAAGAGCACTTGTTAAATACCAATTGTACTTCAGTCCCCTCACGGTTCATGTTTTTGAGTCTGAAACTTCAACATTTTCTGTAAACTTGTGAGAACTTACTTTGAATAAAATAATGCCAATGCAAAACTGTTAGTGATTATTTGCTCATTTCAGTTAATAACAGAGAAATCTTTTATTTACACAGGTGACTAAACCACACAAAATGTGCATTTGCAAATATATTGAAGAGAAACKAAATGGTTTTTGGAAAATGACAGACTGTTTAAATTATTGTTAAAAATAGTGTTCAGTCTGTAAAGACTATGAGCAGCTTGCAYTATCAATGCTCTGTGAAATCCCTGTTATAAAACATTTTACACATTAAAAAAATATTTTTGTTAATACTTTGGTTAATACACAACCAAATCATTAATTAGCCATTTTTAATAATAATAATGGAGTTACCTCTAGGAGTTAGACTTYTCTAAGAAATACAATCATATTTAGAAAGGCATCAAATGTTATTAGACAAAGTACTTACAGCAARGCCCCAGAGTTAATTCTTAGAAAGTTTGAATCAGATGACAGTTGCAAACACAGTTGTGCTGACATCATGTATTTTACATCTGTATAGAAGAAGAGGATTATAGTTAGGAAAGGAAGCTAATTTTCAAAACTATCTTAAAATCTAATGAATTACCTAATTTTTGTAAGTACCATTTCAGCTGCAAAACACAGAAAGGCTTTAAAAAGAATAATGACTGATGTGACAAATCTAAATTTAAAATTCTTTTAGAAGAATTACTAATGAATAAACAACAAAGATAGTAAGTTCATTCTTCTTGAAGGAATACTGGGCAAATTAAAAGCAAAGTTAAAAAGATATAGGGCTTTCTGCAACAGAGGGAGGAGTAAGAAATAGGAAAAGAACATAATCAAAAAGAAAATAAGCATGCTCAAGGTAAATTCATGATTAAAAGCAAGATTCTTACAGGGTAGTTCATTCTTACACCCACTCTAAAGGAACCCTGAATCCTTAAATTCCTGCAACAGTCATGTGAGAATGCTAATAGAAATTATGGGAAAATGTATTTCTACTAGTACTAATGTATGGAGAACAACCAAAGAAACACTAAAAAMCAAGTTCCAAATAAAGTAACATATTGATCTCAGCTGATATTTTATTATAGTGAGGACTTCAGTGAACGGCTTTCCTAGTGCATACAKAAGCCACAGGGTTTTGTCAGTTAACTGAGAGAGTCATTAGAGGTATGAACACTTTCTTCAAATAAGAGTTATTGAGGATWCCAAATCCCTACTTCTTGTCTCAACTTTTTTATTTCCTCTCTTTTGCAAATGGGCTCTACCAATCTAAGTAGCCAAGAAATTCCTCTAAAAATTCTATTACCTCTTTACTTAAGTTATTTTGGATGTATGTTAATCATACTGTAACACGTATCAGTTGAAGCATTATATTTGCAAGACAGATTCTGTGCTAATACTGTGTTAAAACACATACTGAACTGAAACTTGTCAGACRTTTTTGTTTCATACAGAGAATTAAAATTTTTCTTTTCTTCTAAGGACTTTGGTATCCTCTGCCCATATATTCTATAAATAATATATATTGGAATTTGTTTATTTCTTTCCTATGAGATCACTTGTTTTCCTGGATCCATTAATTAATAGATCCTTCCAGACCATAGTGACTTAAACACTGTAATATTAATCTGACAGCTTCAAAAGAATTAAATTATTTAAACCACACAACAAGATTACAGAACTTCAGCCAACACCAACATTTACTTTCTAAATGCTCATAACACTGTAAAAGCACAATGTAACAATGCAAAAAAAGTAACCAATAAGCAGTCTCACATATCTCAGGGTTAGGTCAGCTGGAATAATTTGAAAGCATTACAAGTCTRGTTAACACTTTTAGTGGAAAAAGTAATGAAGTAAGGTTTCAATTTACATCTTTCAACATAGTTATATCTACTAAATTAACTTCAATTCAAAAATAAAAAAAATTTCACCAAGACTGTTGAGGAATTTAATCAAAACAAAGCATTATTAAAAATACAGAATACAGTATGTTTTCTTTGTCTACAAAGGAAAAAAACAGACACAATGCTTTAATAACTTACATGATATTGCACAGTCAGGGACCCGGGGCAGAAGGATTTATTTCACACTTCTTGTTTCAAAATCTYTATGTATTCTTTCAGGCACCTTTTCCTGAAGGGAAAGTTAATCACAGGTTAAATAGGAACTGCAAAAGACATAGATACTAAAATCAGACAGAAAATATTATATTTCCTAAATTCTGATGTAGGTTTCAGCATTAGAGAATGTAATCTTTAATGTGATGATGACAGATTTTTCTTTTTGTTATACTTAATGATGCCTTTTCAAGTGTGTTGAGGTAATTATCAGAAGAAATAGCAAAATGAAACAACCCAAACTGCCAGAATCTCCATGTATGTCATACAAGTTWTCAATTATTGCAGTTCCAATTCTGATTTTTGTATCATTATGGTTGTTCATTACAGCAACTACTATAAGTCATGCAAGCAATCTGCACTAATCTTAATTGTTTTATAGTWGTAATTCATGTTTAACTACCTGCTTGCTAATCTATTCGTTCATCCTTTTCCTACAAGAGAATATATTTAGGATTGCAGAGTTAGAAAGGCATGCCATATTTTGCCCCTTTTCCTCAAAGGAAAGAAGTTGACAATGTGGTCAGTGGATTGTACAAGGAAGTGCGGACATACAGTTACATTTCTTCACCTCACCTTTCTCTCAGCAGAATAAGCCTTAGAAAACCAGTTTTGTTTAAAAACATTCCTAGGAGAGTCTCAAACTCTTCATCAAAGACCATTTAGAATCTGTAAAATTTCATCATCCTTCTAGACGCAATTGGAGAAATATAAATCACACAGTTTTACACAGTCTATAAAATGGGACAGATCGAGTGATTGTCTCCRGTTGATAAAAGTAATAATTTCAGAAAACTTTACAAACTCAATGTTAGCAACTGATTAAAAGAAAACAAACTGTCTAAGACTTTGTGTAGACTTCATTTCTCTATTTGCATTGAGAAGGCTGCTGAAATTTTACAAATTGTAAATGGCATATTTTATTGCTGAAAAGTTTGAGACTCTTCTAGCTATTTTTAAAACAAAGTATTGTTTATACAATGATAATATTTCAACACAGTGCAACAAATCTATTACAYTTTCCTATTAAGAAATGAGAAAGTTTACAGTATTAAACATCTTGTATCCTTTTTTCACTTTCAGAATTAAGTAACACAATGAACTCCATGCCATAAAATTTATGCAATTTCAGTGCTGTTAACTTAAAAACCAAATAGGTTATATTGAGATTATTAATTAACACTAGTCAATGTTTGGAAAGTCCAGTAGTGTTCAATGATGTGAAATTTTAAAGACCTCCTAATGAAAAATAAGAGCCCATATGAAYAACTAAAGAAATCCCAGAACAATCAACCTACAAACAGTTTTTCTATTTTGTGACTGTGTACCAACTGATTTTTTGCAATCTTGATGTTCTTACTGTCTGTAAAATAGTGATAGAACCAGAAAGATGTGAGCCARTGTAGCTTCCAACAATGTATTTGTTTCCTACGTCAGTCTTCTGAATACTATTAGATAGAGAGGTCATCCCTTCCTAGGCAGAGGGACAAATATATTGCAACTGGTCAGTAGCCATCTCATCCATAAGAAGCTGGGTGGGCCCAAAGGCAAGACACAGAGTGATAAGAAATACAGGATTCTCAACATGAAGAAAAGAACTGGATTTTAAGAATAGTTACGAAACTCTTATTACTCATATAAGTTAATCACAACAAGTATAAGGAAATACATTCTTTTCAAGTTCGCTTTGCCTATGCTGTTCTATTTCAATCGCCACAATAGCACAGATCTGCCCCTTACCTCCGTTTCTGTTACCACCACTCAGTTATGGTTGCCTGCTCCTTTCACTCTGACTAGCAAACTATAGCTTCTACATTCTTCCAGCTTCTGTCAGCACTGCCAGTCCCCCCCCAAAACCAAGTGACTCTCCATCATTCTCTGGCTTCCTTGTTGTTTCTTGTGTCTTACATAGGCTTGCAACCCTATGCTTCTCACTCACTCTGTTCTTGACTATAAAATCATCATCTCCGCTGTATGGAACATGTTTTTGAGACAGAAATGCTATACTCATAATGGAAAGTGGCTAAACTTTTGCTTTTTGAATATAGAGTGGCAGGATACCTCCTGCAATGTGTATTACCTTTCATATATGCAATACATATGTTTTATTCCTGCAGTACAGRTCCTTTTCATATAATTTCTTCTTTATTTAACAGTAAGAAGATGTTCAGTCCAGTCTTTAGCAGGCCTGAATTTTGCAAGGTTTCTAGCAAAGTCCAACTCAACAAAACTGCACTTCCAGAAGAGGTGGCTTCCCTTTCATGGGSATCATTTTAGTGAATTAGTACTCACTATCTTGGAGAAGACACATTAATGGAAAACCCAAAGAAGGAAAAAATAACCAAGCTGCTCCCTAAATCTCTTCCTGTGAAAGGTACAAAATAGCATATTTGCCATCCCTGATTGCCACAAAAACAATCAGGGCATTATACTTATACAATTATMCTTATACAATTATACTTAATAATTTATTATATCAAATGGCTAGAACATACCTTGAGACTTTTATTCTCTAAGGAAGGAAAATTTTGATTCAGTCTGCTTCAAGACTGATCTCATTAGTTAAGGCATGATACTGCGATGGCTAACAGCCAAATTTCKGTCCCAATCATATACTTGGAAGTTTAACGATGATGGACCTGCTGTGTAATTCACCTATAAACCATTTACCTATTGTGATAATTATGAATGCAAATAATTCTATCTGCAAAGACAGACATGCATAGGTTTTTTCACTCCTTTCTCAAGGATGGAAGAAGCTAATACAATGGATAACAAATAATCAAAGATTGTGTGATTACATGTGCAAAACTTCTGATAAATCTGCCTGGAGCAAAAAATTTCTGCGACATATTTCAAATGGCAGACTAACAGAGATAAGCAAAAGATGCAGCTGTTTCTTTCATAAACAAATCTATAATGAAATGCAACTAAGGATTTAAACAAAAATGAATTTGTTYTAATATTAACTGCTAAAAAGCCTAAGCCTAATTAATGTCTGAAGAGCAACTGGCATTATCTACAGTTCACTATTGATGTGATTAACACATCAATAACTTGTATTCAAATTGTTGAAGAGGATTAGTTAAATGATAGAATTGCTCCATTTCCTTTTTGGCTCTGTTGTTACTCCAAGTACACTTGCATAAAGCAAAAATTAAATGAATTTTGGAAGAAAGCTATGGTTATAGAAAGTTAACATAGTGTACCAAAATTGCTGTTGATATTACACACCCTTCTTCAGGCTTTCAATATTTACAAGGGAACTTTTTCTGAGTTTATTCTGTTCATCATATAAATCATACTCCAAAATTGTTCCTAAGACTTAAGAGGCAGCTGCCTAGTACATCGTCCACTAGTACATTGATATATCTCTTCAAAATCAAGACCAAATCATTCATAGATTGAGACTGTCATCGTGATGCTATYCAATTTGGTTTTGGCTCCACAACTGCAAAGTTAACTTTTTCAGATTCCAAGAGCAAATTCTGACTCATCACATAGCAGGGACAGTCTGAYGTACAGCAGCAAAACTCCTTTTACCAGTCTATACTTTATTCATGCACCAAGACCTGGCTACCAATGCTCTTTTACTGGCTATGAAAAAGCCAGTTTTAAGCCTGAGCACAATTTTCACTTTAACTCACATTATAGGCCGCCAAGTTCTATAAATAAAACATCACTCAAAGTCATTCAGAGCTGATCATTAGAGTATCAAATCGCCACCTACTTTGTTCATGTGATTAAGGAGTTAAGAAAAGTCAATAGAAATTCATTGTATTGACTTACATTTCTGCATCCAATTGTTTATCTTGTCATTCTGGGATTGCATGGCTGTGTTTGTCTGATAGGAATATTACTTCCAACGATTGGAGGAGGGTGAGCACTGAGGGCAGGAAATACATTTTGCTTAGTTAAAGACACACARCTTCTGTTTTTCATGTTCCTCAGAGGCTAATCCAGTTACACTTACAAGTATACTATTCCTTACTAATTTAGARAATCATCACTTTTAATGGCTGTGCCCACACTGAGTTTTCCCTTGATTTAAAAGTCATGTACTTCACTTCAGGAAGAAGTAATTAACAGACAGCATAAATTATTGCAAAGTTCACATCATCTCTTTGAGCAGGTTATTCTCTTCATACACAGTTAAATTATACAGTACCAAGTCATTCTTGTACCAGCTTAATAACTTAAAATTCTTAAAAGACAGTAGAAGTCATTATTTATTCCCTAACATCAACACTTTATTAAAAAAAAACTCAGCAAGTTGGAAAATAAGTAGATTCTTATGCCAGTTCAAAATTAATTTTCCCYTTCCAATATTGCTCTTTCCTCTTTTGACAGTGACTACTGTTAAAGTGAAGATAAAGATTTTCTCCCAGGACCAAGAAAAGTGATTGCAAATTGCATGTCATTCCCATTTTCATTTCTTTAAATGTATCTTTTAAAGTATGTCTTATGCAGTAAGCAGAAAATGTTGAGAAAGTGTGGTGGTACCTTCCCSTGCTGTCTGTGCCTCAGGCTCCACTRTGATCTCAGAAATGCTCATTAGACCTCAGCCTTGACAAACAACACCCAGACTAAGCTCTTGAGCTTCTCAGGAATACTGTCTGCTCCCAGAAACATGTGCTATCTAGCACAAACCATTTTTGAAACTTATTTTTCTTGCCTGAATAACAACCTAAGTGGAACTGAAGTTACTAACCTGAATTGTGGCCAAGATGGAAGATTATGACTTAAGCCAACTCTCTTGTGACCCTAGGAACAGTAGTGCTAAGCAGACCCTTCCTTTCAGAAGGAATTTCTACACAGAATGGATTGCTAGACAGGAATTCATTGGAATGAATGTCCAGAGAGGTGGTGAAATCACCATCTCTGAAGGTGTTTAAGAAATGACTGACTGTGGTACTCAGTGCTATGGTCCAGCAGACAAGGTGGTGATCAGTCAAAGGTTGAACTCGATGATCTTAGAGCTCTTTTGCAATTTCATAATGACTCTGAGTTCTCTTGGACTGAATTGGGCTGTGAGCAGCCTCCTAATGTGCTGCATTAAGTGCTGCATTAAGCCCTCAGCGTGGCACCTCTCAGCAAGTTTGCTGTACTGGGAGTGAATGACAACGGGTCCTGGGCTGATACCTGCACTCCTCAAGGCTCAGCTCTTCTCCTGTAGAGAAGATGCAAAAGGATCCAGTGTGAGGATGTCCTCGAACATGAGGGGAATTTTTCACGAGTGATTACCTTGTACATGCGCCTTCAGGTCTGTGTGTGTGTGCAAGTGTGAATAAGCTAAAGCAAATGTACTTTGAATGTTGCTCTCTTAGACTGTCAAGTGATTTATACTTGTAAGTTAGGCCTGAGGTAATTTACTGTTGTGCTTATGGAAAATTCTATAGAATCTTTTGATAGACTGTTTAAATATCAATTAAGTGGGGTCTTAAGTTTAAGTGCTGTTAAAACTTTTAGGCCTAAACTGTTAGTCAAGTCTGGACCAAACTGTCCAGCCCAAATCTTGTGACTTTCTACAAGAGTATCTCCCTCACTTGTTTTTATCCTTAATCMTTTCCTATTCTTGTTCTTTTACCATCTCCAGCCTACACCATAATTTTTGGTTGGTTTTAGTTTTAGGTTGATTGGTTTTAGTCTCTAGCCCAATTTTTTCTCTGCTTGCTTTAACCATCAAGTAAGCAGAATGAATCTTTCCAAAAAATTTCGCGCTTTCACTCAAATACTAAACCTGCTTTGACCACCACTTTGCTTGTGATTCTTTGAGCAACCTAAAATACTCATTTGTGAGAGTAATCTGGTATTGATGAGTATTTTCTCACAACTCTAAGCTACAGATTCATAAAGTGACAGTTTAACATAGAAGGTGTAATAATATATATGTATACACAAGTTATGTATGTTTACATAGACATAGATCCATATAYACATAAATATATATATATTTACTAAAATTTATTCTGAAAACCAAAAAATATATAACGTCATGTCTATTCATAATAATATTTAACTTAGCACTTCATCTAAAAACATTTAAAGGAAATTAATCAACTAAGGTATATACAAAAAGTAATTTAACAGCAAAAGTACAGGTAAAATTTTAACGGCTGAATAAGGTAAAAGTATTCTTTCAAACTGACCAAAAAAGGAGCAAAGTGAGAAACAGATAATACACAAGAAGTGACAGGACTGATATTTCTCTTATAGTTCAACTTCTTTTATGAAAACATCTTACAGTCTAACTTAAAACTAATGAATACAGCTTTAAAAGATGGTTAACACCATGTTCAGTTCCATTGATGTAAAACAATTCAGTTGCAGGGGGCTGGAACCAGATGTCATTAAGGACCCTTCCAACCCAATCCTTTCTACAGTTTTATGAAATTGTAATAAATATGTTAAGATCAATTAAGAGGTCATTGGGTAGGACCACCAAAGTAGCACAGTTTAGGAAACAACATATGGTCTACATCTGCTACAACTAGCTCATTTAAGCTGTTGTGATTTCAGAGATTGTCCCTCAGTTAAAAGGTAGACTACACCATATTTTTGTAGGGACAATAAAATAAGTGGATTGCTCAGTATCCAGCTGTGCACAGCATACTGAGTATTAGTTCCAAGTTTCATTAACTGATAAGCTGCTACAAATAAAACATGTTTACAGTCAAATGCCAAGCTAAGAAACAAACAACAAATTAGAAAATATGATTTAACCTTCACCTTACACATGTTCTCAGGCATCATCATCTTGTGTCATAAAAGGATTTCTGAGTCATGGCAATGCAATAAACAGTTATTTCTAGCAATAAATTACAATCTAGCTATAAATTACAAAGTATAATTTTATACTTCATTTAAACATGCACTCTACCTATACAAGCCACAAAAGGACCACACAAATGAGATCCAGTTGGCCATAATGTCAAATCAGACTGGTTTCCAATGATTTAGCAGTCGGCATTTTGTTGCAAGGATTACTGTTTTGTGTCCCAGCATTTGATTTTACTTTCTCAAAAAATGAGGATGAAATGGATTAAATAACAAACAAGCTCCTAAATTCATGGGAAAAAGCCCCACAATGCAAAAAGAAAGAATTTCATATTATACCCTACTTTAAACTCTAAATAAAAAATACACTAAGTTGTATAAGAACAGAAATAAAACTGTTCACATGCACAAAATGAATTCCCCAAGTTACAACTAGACTGAAAGCAAATCTTCAAATTCAGTGTTACAGTACCCTAGGTAAAATACTAGAGGAAAATAGAAATACTTCAAATAGACTACACTGTGTGGAGATTAAGGTTTTTACTTTTGTTTTTCTTTTCTCTTAGGGAATTTTTTCCCTTTTTATTGCTAAGGAACAATGACTGGTTGCTTAACAGAGACAAAAGAAGTTGCCAAGCTCAGGGGAGGAGAATACCTGGCGGCACTTTTCTTATCTGAGGGTTTCTCTGGGAAGAGCAGAGATACCGCAAGAACTGGGCTGTGAAAAATGGGGCTGGGACAGCTCCTGGTGCTCTTGCTCTCTCTGCCTTGGAGGACGACGGTGGAACTGCTGTTTGGTGGGAGAATTCGCTGCCGTCACTGGAGCCCGGCATCCTACTTTTCTCCTGTTGTAGCTGAGCCTTTGCTCATAAGAGTGGCCCTTGCACWGGGGCATTATCAACACCCTACCTCACCAAAGGCCCCTTCACCATCTGCTGGAGTACATCAGGGGAAATCGCGGGATCCCTGAGGCCCTTCCTCCTGCAGGGGAATCTCTCAGCTGTGTGTAGAAGCTGGATGGCCACTGCCCAGCCCCTGCAGTTACCCTGCCACTGCTCCGAGGYTTTTCTCTGCCACACTCTAACTCGCACCCTCTGYCCTGCCCAGACATACCGTGGTTCCAGCTACAGTTGCCAAGTTTCTGAGACATATCCTCCACCACTCCGAGACCTCGCTCATCCCTGCCTTCCTAGCTTGCCACTTAAGGTTCCTGCTACAACTCCACTTGCTATCCAGAGAGGGCACCAGCATCAGCTCTCCCTGTGAGTCCGCAAAGTAAGCCCCTACTGCGTCCATTGCGGCTTGCCCGTGTCTGCCATTGCCGTGAGGGGGAGAGCGGCCGGARCCCGCGCCACAGCGCCCCTGCCGGCGGGGAGGAATCACCGGCCGGAGCCACAGCGCCCCTGCCGGCYGTGAACGGAACTGCAGCACAGGGGAGCGGGCTGCCATTGGTTTCGGGTTTGCTTGGTTCTTGCTGCCGTTGGTGTTATTTGCCTTGTCATACATATTAGTAAAGAACTTYCTTTTTCCCATATTTGTGCCTAAAAGCCCCATGATTTCCAAGGTATAACAATTCAAAGGGAAGGGGTGTCACAGCCTCCATTCCAGCCTTCCATGGCAGACATCTGTCTTTCAAACCAAGAYACACTGTATCTCAGCAATTACTAGATACCTGTTCTGCACAGAAACCCTAACAGTATAAACAGGTATTTTACTGGAGCATGAAAAACAAGGTTTCATTAAGCCTCTAATTCTGTGCAAGTGGGACAAGGATATGGAAATGTGCTCATCTTTCCATTAAAATAACCCAGCATGAAATCCTTTCTTAGATTTTTAGGTTACTGACATTTTAAGGATTGAGCAAAGAAATATATCAACATTCTCCAGCTAAATAAGTAGACCTCACTTTAATTCTCTTTTCTCTCTCAAAACACTTTATTTCTTATTGCTTTTGAATGGACTCTGAACTAAAAGGCCTATGCTTCATTTATTCTATTATTCTATTGATTTTTTTTTCTACAGCTTCAAACCTAAGATTTTAGTGAAAAATGGCTTTTTCTCCCAAAGAGAATTAATCAGAACATCTTCGTCTAATCTACTCACATTCAC